ACACACACACACACACACACACACACACACACACACACACACACACAGTATATTCACATGAACAAATGAGTGTTTCCATGCATGTGTTCCTGCAGCAGATTGCAGGCATGTACAGTCTGCACATATGAAAAGGGACACGTGTGTGTGTGTGTGTGTGGGGACAAACTTCTATGAAGGTTATGCTTCATTTAAACTAAAAGTGGAACTGCACTGGAGGCGTTGGATGTCCACATACATAGCGTACACAGAGCCATACCGAGACACATGAGCTCACTGCTCTAACTGTCGGTGTGTGTGGGATCGACGGCTGAGGCTGAATGAGAATAATGACACTCGGTCCAGTTTGTTTACAATCCAGCAGAGCAGACGGGTCCGTCAGCCCATCGCACAAGAAACTGAATCAATGGCTGATTTAACAAAGATTAAAAAAAACTGTACAACTCAAACATCAAATGTATTATTTTCATTGGAAATAGATTTGGCACTGAAAATAATTAAATAGTTCAAACACCATTTAGTCGATGTCCCCACAGTGTTGTCTGACTGGATTTGAGTAATACTGGAGAGTGTTATAGTTTTAGTTAAGACGGCTTTGCCGGTTATCTTTTAAATAAAGGTTATTATTTTGAATATTCCACTTGCTCTGTATCCGTTGTTTAAACATTCAACTTTCATTGGATTTTAAGGGTGAGCAACATGGACAAACTATCAAAATGCACTCACTGGTTTTGTCGTGGCACCCAAAAAAATCCTCAAATTTAACACTTTGACTTTTCATACACTAACGCATCACTCGTCATTATCTCAGCATCATTAAATCTGTCAGATAAATGGAAATACTGAAGTAGCAGACGGACTTCTGAATGTGTAAATACTGGAGTACTGATCAAGTGAGCGGAGGAGACTTAATACATGAGGAGGAATCTGACTGATAGTGTTGAGACGGGGCCGCTGTCTGCTCCGGTTGTTCTCATCGGGGGCCGAGTATCGACGGAGGGGTCGCCTTCCCCCGCTTCTTCAATACCTCTGTCCTTCGCTTCCTGTCTGCACGACACCCGACGCCACCGCTGTGTGTGTGTGGCTTATGCTGCAGTATTTGCAGGCAGAGTGAGCGGGGATAAGGTTGCATGTTGTTCTTTTCGTGGCAGCATTTTCCTGAGTGATGGAATCCCTGAGAGGGTTTAATGTTGGTGGCGGACACGAGCCTCGCTGACCATAAACACTGCCTCTCCCTGCACAGCTGTCTCCCTGCACAGCTGTCTCCCTGCACAGCTGTATGCAGGACTCTCACCACATCCACAGACGGGCAGAGAGACAGTCAGACACTGAAATATGAAATTTGCACTTTTCCCCCCCAACAGGTAACTTCTCTTTAACCTTAAAATCTGCACATTTCTCCCACGGCCTTGCGTACCTGCAATCACTGCAATACACTCCATGTATGCTAGTTTAAATGTGTATGTGTGTGTTTCTGCCTCCTAAATATAAGCGTGTCACATCGTCCAGAGCGAAACCAGTGGACAGCTCAGCTGAGGCAGAGAAATGGTTTTAAGTGCCGCTGCTCTGCACACACAGAGCTCACGAGATAAAACAAACAAACACTCACAGTGAGGACCAACACTGATAGTTGTGGGAGCCAGAGACGAACAATATTCAAATAATAACAATAATAATCATTTTACCGTTATCCTTCATGTTCTCTTCCATATACATTTGACTAATGAGATCCTGAATGCTTCCGTTTCTGGGAAGTCAAACTTTGATGAGTCCAAGATTATTATTACTAATAGAAATGATGATTTAAGAAATAAGAGTAGAGTTTATTATAAACCAGAAACCTTTTATAAATGTGCTATTCTCCTGCTCTGCTGGAGATATTTGAAGAGAGAAAAAAAGAAACAACATGTCCGTCAATATGACAGATGTGTTCTCTGTGTTGTAGCACCAGAGGCTAAAAACAGACGCTGTGAAGGACTCGGTTTCTTCAACATGCCCTTTAAAGTGCCATATTTTGAGTGAGGTGACCCCCCCCCTCAAACACACACACACACGTGCACGAGCACGCACACATCAGCAGCAGGATCAATCTGAACCCCTGTGGTGAGACAACACTGGTAACACACTTTGACTTGTTCAGTGTGTGCTTAAAGCTGCAGCGCGCACACACACACACACACACGCTTCTGCGTGCACGTGTTAAAGTGTGTGTAACTGTCAATCTGTGTTTACTGTGTGTAGACGGGTATCTCCGCCTGTTAATGTCTGGCAGAGTCTCAAAGTGTGAGGTTTTTTTTTGGTGTACATCTGTCTGTGTGTGTCAGTTTGCATGTGTCTATCAGTCACTGTGTTTTTTTTTTTTTTTTATGTGTGTGTGTGTGCGCTCACCCATGCTGTTGGTGGAGCTGCACCACATCAGCAGACAGCCGGTACACAGCAGGTTGAGAGCCCCGAACAGCAGGATCCTCCACGACTGAAAACGACAACAAGCAAACAAAACAACAGTTTAAGAACAATAAGAAAAGGAGCAGAGCGGCTCAACCTTTGGCTCGAGGCCCAACTGAGGTCATTCATTACGCACGTGGGGAGAGATCATTTTTTCACTTAAAGTTTTCTTTTGAAAAGAGAAAACAACACTATGCCATACTAAAGTCAGGCCAGCTGAACAAACTAATAGTTGGTTCTACAAATGTTGATGAAGAAAGGTTAATTACCAATCAATATCATCAGCCCCATATATATGAATAGGAGAAGGAAATATGGGATATATTGGGTTAAACACTGGATCCTACACAACCCACAATGCAACTCACTAGCATCTTTCATTACATTTGTCCACAAGCCCAAACACAGATAACCGGGATGACATGAAGCTAACCCAAAGAAGGAATTACACAAGCGTTTTCTCCTGCACAGGGTTTCCCCGGCTGTCAGTCAGCGTCCTGTGGCAGACGCTCTGGCAGATGACCAGCAGCCGTCTAATCTAAATCCAAACCTACAAACCGACCGGGAGCTGCTGGGTTTTGGCTGCTGCATGCAGAGTGAGCTTCCTACCCCGCGGTCGACCTGCTGTGCCGGGAGATTTGGGTGAATTCTCTGACTGAACGAGTCACTACAGTCTGAATCAGTTCGTCACAGAAATACCAGCTCAGGGGAAGGTCACGTCCAGAGGACCAGAGAGCAGACAACAGGCTCAGTGCTGAGAAAGAGCAGCTCTGCACATCTGGAACATCAGCAGGTTTGAGTTACAAGAACCCACCCCAAGTCATTATTTAAGAAAACACAAACACAGGTTGTTACGTTGTTTAAGTGTTACGGACAAATGACCAAAGAGAGTAGACCAGAAACACATTTTTTGTACAATGTGTATCGGAGACCATTCAACATTGTTCTTACTCCATCTGCCAAAATGTATATTCAGCTAAGTTTTCAATGAATTACATAAAATTAAAAATAAAACGTGAGTCTAAAATTGCCCTCAGAGCAGAAAGAGAGAGTGCGTTTGTGTGTGTCAGAGAAGAGGGAAATAAGAAATGGAACGAGTGTGTGAGTGAGTGTGCGAGTGTGTGTGTGTCCTGGCCTGTCACTTCGTGTTGGAGTCATATGCCGTGGTGGGGAGCGCCGAGTGCTGTGAAATCTACAATTACTGTGGTGTGCTGTGTTATGACAGCACTGGGGCGTCTGGTGACAGCACTAGCCAGCGACAGGCATGGGAGACCCACAGTGTGTGTGTGTACGCCTACATGGGTGCATGTGTCTGTGTGTGCAAACAGAGAGACAGCACTTGGCCCAAAACATTCCCAACCCCCATTCCACAGACACTCAGCGCCTGGAGGAGAGGGCACGGTTGTTGGATCCTGACGCTCTGCTGCCCCCGTCCGTCCGTCGGCGGCGGCGTCCCTCGTGGTGTCCGGCTGCATAACCGCGAGCCAACATGTTGAGGTTACATGTGACATTGGAGTGACAGAGCTGCAGCGCTTCAGTTACCAGGTACTGTATGAAATAAGGAGCCCACGCTGACGCCAGGCCTCATTACATCATTGTCGAGCGCCGTGCCATGCCGCAGCATCGGGGAAATGTGTGTCACCGTGATGAGCGGAAGCGTGACTCATATCAGCCTCTGAAGAAGGGAGGTGGAGCAAGAAGGAGAGGTCAGTTTAATCCTAACAGACTGGGAGTACGTGCAGGGGGAGTAGTGGGACTTTTTTTGGCCCAACTGAAATCTGGAGCGCGCCGCCGCTGCTCCCCGACACGGCTCGCTTACGGTCGCAATGAAAAACACGAATAAACCTCTTTCCTCGGATTGGAGCCGCCGGGGTTCAGCATCTCCAGGTGACCGTGTCCTCCTCTCAAAATAAAGCTACTTGTATAATGTTAACGTGGACGGAGGAGTTACAGCAGAAATAAGATGACGCCCGGTCCTCTCACTCTTCGGTCCCCCTGGTCATGTCTTGTCTCTGCCGACGGCCCGATGTCCCTGTTCCAGTTTTATCAGGACATTTTGTTACTGTAACAGTGACTGACCACCTTTAAGCACCAATGTCCAGCACTACAAACACGTACTGTATGACAGACATGGTGAATAACTGGCATTGCAATTCTTAGGCTGTTCTGAAATTCATCCGATAAAAAGCCGCGTCAGTAACTCGCTCCTGCTTTAAGTTTACTTTATGTCCTCTTTAAAAACTTAATGTGAACTTGTTTTATAGAGAACTTTGACTCTGTGTACATCTTTACAGGAAATTAAAGGAGAGACTAACTGATTTTACGCATAAAACGGTGGCTTTACTAGTCGTGAAGTCAGAACAGAGGTTTGTCAAGTCGAGCAGGGTCTAATGAGGAGACGCTATTGAGTTGCATTATGGGAGGTGCAGGATCTAGTGCTGTCGGAGCTTGGAGCGCTTTGTGACCCTGCTGCTGTGTAAATTCTTCATCTTTCATGGGCAACAAGGAGGATGAGGAGGGCCGATTTGGCACTTTATTTAGTTTCTTTCATTTTTAATGGTTTGGTTATGTTGTGGCCTAATCTACCAAAGCTTATTCTATTGTTCACATGAAACTGGAGAAGAGAGAGAAACTCCTGACCTCAACACACCTGATCGATCAGTGTGTAAAATGGGTGTTAGATGTTAGCAGTTTCGGGAAGTTACGAAAACCGGCAGATGCAGCCAATCCCTGACTGCTGACGTCAGAACAATGTGCGAGGTGTTTCCAAAGCCCATTAACACTTCGTTCAACATCTGATATATCTGGTGCTAAACTATGTAGGCTGTGAATACTGCAGGCTACCTGAAATCATATTCATAAGATTTTGTTATATTTTGCAAAAGGTAAGAGGAGACGTGAGACGAGGCGCTGAGGAAGCACATCTCAGCTTTCTCCGGTTTGAACTATGTTTGGTCCCTAAACCGTGTACGACACCGTGTAATCCAATCCAGGGCTCTATGGGGAAGCAAGACCCCCTGCCATTATGTGGTCAAAGTGGATTATAGTACACTAACACTGAGACACACACACACACACACAAAACAATCACGTCTGACATCCTTTTGCGTTCATTATCATGTCTCTGGTGTTTTCTTTGGAATTTTTACATCCCAGTGTTGTTCAGAAGCATTTTTAGCTTAACTCTACATCTGTCCCTGTTTTGTTGGGAAACTATTCCTACTTTTTTTGCATGTAATCAAAATCACTTCAAGCATTTGAACTAAACATGTTTTTTGAGCGGGAAATTAGGACAAACTCTGTTGTTGAGTTTAGTGTTACTGCTGAGGTGGAATATTAAATGTATTCTTATCAGCCTGCAATAAAGGAAGTTCCTTCCCTTCCTCTGCCTTTAAATAATGTTCATCATTTTTGTTTGACTGCCTACTAAGAACTTTAAATTGTACAGGTTTTACAACAAACAGTAGAATAAATGCTGTGAAAGCTTTATTTTCACTGGACCAGAATGTTTTCTACCATATTTTACAAGAAGATCCCTCTACTGGTGTCCTGGTCAAGCATTACATTGGTGGTGTTGTGTGTTGAACTGATTCAAGCTTTCTCTATTAAACAAGTTCATGCTCAGTCGGCCCAACGAAAAATACTGTCATATTATATTTATATTCAGAATATACAGAAATCGAGACAACAGTTGGAAGCTGTGAGACAAAGTGGACCAGCTGTCAGCTCGTGGCTGATGGTATTTTACTCGCTGCTGCTTTCACTGGAACACGGTGACCTGCTAGAAAAATCAGGATTACTGGAGGTGTTCGGGTTTGACTGAGTGTGACACAGTTTACAGCACAACGGGATTATGAAGTGAGGACTTTCCAGACGATAACTACCGAGTTAAAACCAGGAGGAAAGATGCTGTTTGGATGATGATAACCAGGCGGATTCAGTTGGTTGATGGTAAAAATAAACAAAGAACATGAAGCTAATTTTTATGTTTTTTTAAAGGTGCAAGATCTGAGAATAGTAGCAATTTGATTGCCTGTCAATGGCTCTCAATATGGCAGCGCCTGAACCGGCGGCTTTTGGCTCACAGTGATAGAAGCGCTTACGGTGCAAACTAGAAAACGGCGAAAGTGCTGACAGAGCTAATAGGATCAACCTGAGGGGGAACCAGGGGGTGGGAGCTACGCTTCCTCCACGGTGCGCTTGGGTTATCAGTTGTAACCGCCGTCTGTTGTAACCACCGCATTAGAGCAGCGAAGAGCATCTTTACATAGAGCTGTTTGATGCTACATTAATGTTCTGAATGTACAGCTCCTTTAAAGAGAAGAAGTGCAAAATTATATTTTTACTATGTATTTAAACACACACACACACACACACACACACACACACACACACACACACTTACCCGCCTATCTGAGGTGACCAGTCTGAATTCTTGTTGGAGTTTTCCAAAGAAGGATTTGTGCGTCTTCCTGAATGGATGAATGGTGCCCTGCAAATTAAAACAAATGTTTAATAAATATTAATACTAACTAACTTTTAAACTCGACAATAGGTAATGAAACATTTGATGAAGTGCAGTGTGCAGCTAAATAAAATGCTGGCTAGAATATTTCACTAAAGATGTCAGGAATGGCATTTAGATTACTTTAGGTACAATCAGGTTCATCAAGTCTCTGATAGTCATGCAGAGTAGGAGGCAAAGCCTGAGCTGCACTGCCACCAAGTGGTGAGTCAGTGTACAACATTGACTTCAGCTACACTGGACATTACAGACACGCCTGGTAACAATCTAATCTGCAGAAGTATCTTCTTGGGCTATTCAAAACCGCGGAGTCTCGTTAACTTATGAGAAATTTATCATATTAACGCAAATATTTGCACAATTTGATGGCTGATAATAATGCCCCTCACTGTTTAAATATAGGCATCTCAAAGTAATCAAACTCTTTTAACACCCAAAAGAAGAAACGTAGCATTAAATACAAGAGAAAAAACTGCAAACTAAATGTAAAACACTGCAGAATTTTTACTTTTGTAATTTTCCCTTATTCTCTACGGAAAAAGTACCACCGGACTTTTATCAACAAATTACTATCTTGTGTCACAAGTCAAAGACTTGCCCATCCAAAGGGTTCTGAAAGAAAAAAACATGACTCTTAAGTCAAAGCTTGGGACCAGTCTGAAAACCTGTTCTCAGAAGTTTAACACATACCAGCCCAGACTGTCTTTAAAGACATGAATACATACTAAAGACTCACTGTAAACACAGAGTGGGCTACTTTGAGAAGTAACGAAAGCTCCAGTACAATCGTTCTGTGTGTGCATGCTACTACAGAGGTGAGGAAATAAAGGATAGTCATTAACCCTAAAACCCATCCAATAGAACCCCCAGAGACACTCACCAAGACGTATGCTTCGTGCTCATGCTTCTTCCTGTGCAAGTGGACATCTGTGGACGAATACAGACACCACCGTCAACATGGAAGAACAACAAAACACAACCCATACAACATGTCTGACAATGAGCTACGGTTTCTGCATTTTGGTGCAGATAACAAGTGTGTTCTTCGTTTTACATAAAAGATAATTTTGGTTTATTGCAACTTTGGTGTTATTTTGTTAATGTCTAAACTGTACTGCATCTCTCTTTCCTAACCAATGATGCAATGTTGTTGTAGTTCAGCTGATTGCATACATGCAGTGATATACCGTGAGACAGTAAAAGTGTGTCTACAATCCAGCAACTTTTACAGAGGACGCACTCCTCCACTGAGACTCCATCTATGAATTGTTCCTCTGTAGAATTACCAGAATATTTAATAGAAACACAATATCAGTATTTTCACTTTCTTTACTTTTACTGGCTGGTTACATCTCTGTATACCATATATAAATATTTTTTAACTTACTTGTAACTGCGTATTTTTAATGTAATATAAAGGTTTATACTTTTACGAAAGTAAAATATCTGAATAGCGTTTTAATTATTTCATTCTTAACTAGTCGTTAAAACTGGCTTGACAGTAGGTTCACTGCTAGCTAGATTAGCTATACACACACGTTACCGTCTACAAACAAGATCCACGGACCACTAAACTGGTTTACAGGGACCGTAAAAGACAGTTTTTTCCGTTGTTAGCTGGTCACCGTCATTGTTGACAATGGAAAAAACCGAAAAGCTCCTCTGACGTCCACAACTAAAGTCAGAATCAGCTGTTAGCCGTCGGTTAGCACAGCCGCCTGTTTGACGAGGTGTTGTTAGCCGGTAGCCAGCTAGCATCACAAACCTGAATCACTGACGTTAATGACATCCACCGACACCATATCCGGTTTATCCAGCGGGCCCACTTTCCTCTCGGTGACTCCAGACGGCACAACGTCCGGCTTCGTGCCGAACTTTCTGGGGTAATAGTCTCCGGCATTGTGGTAAGACAGACCCGAGGACGTGGACATCATTCCGACCATCTCCATTTTGGACTTCCGGTGCACTATTTCTTCTTCGTCTGATTTAACAGTGGGTTGCAATCGGTGTTTAGACGGTGCACACCGCCACCTGCTGTACCGGAGTGTGTAGTGTGAGATCGTCTCCCTGGATTACTTTACATCATTAGGTAAATAAAGTAATAAATAAATTATGAATTAATAAGTAGTATTGCTAATTAGTAGTCAATGAATTAATCGATTTACAATATTCATATAAAGCAACGACATACATAGTTAAATACATATATTTTGTGTTTTTAGTAAGTACAATGTGCTAATAGTTGAGGATTAGTACATGTAACAGCTTTGTTTTTATGCCACTAAATCTCACTCTTGTGAGATTTGTATCTTGTTAGTTTTGTTATATATATCTATATCTATGTAGATATAGATACAGCAATACATCTATCTGTCTGTCAATCTATCTATCTATCTATCTATCTATCTAAATGTGTGTGTAGTTTCAGCTTCACAAATGTGGATTTGCTGCTTTTCATTTGAATCATTTTAATTTATTTGATAAGAGAAACACAAGATGTTCCCGCTTAAGGAAAACAGATTTGAACTGAACTTACATGACATCATGTGCAAAACGCTGAGAACTGCTTGGTTTGGTTTCATCTCAATTCATCACCTGCACGGTCTGATTCTCACCTCTGTTGTTTCAAACAAATCCAGTACAACAGCCTTGTTGTAATAGATTAAAATCACATGCAATCTAAACTATAATCATCTAGTATAATCTACCATCAAGACCTGAGAAAATAACTGCTAAACACTGGTAAACAAATCCATTCACACACAAAAAATAAAAACTTAAATTTATATGTGAATACAATTATGAATGATAAACAAAAAACAATAAAAGAGGAAAACTAAAATATGCCTTTAACACATTCTAAGCAAAAGCCAGGCTGAACATATATGTTTTTATTCAAATGTCAACACTTTCAGCAACTCTCAGTCACAGCTGAAACATATAAGGAACTGGTAGATCGAAAATTAATCTGCACTAACTTTGATAAATGATTCAATGTTTAAGGCAATTGTTAAATATGAACTGGTTCCAGCTTCTCAAATGTGAATAATTTAGGGAAATTGAATACCTTTTTGTTTGGACTGACAGTCAGAAAAACACAAGACATTTGAAAACAACTCAGTTTTTCACATTAAAAAAAACATATTTTATAAACCGAACAATGAATTTAGAAAATAAACGGCCAATAAGTCGTTAGTGTAAATACTTATTAGTTGCAGTTCTACTCCTGGATTCAAGCAAACACCAACGATTCATCCAATCAGGTGCAGGTTCTGCTCATGCTCAGGTTCATGCTCATGATTCATGTAAAGTGCCAATGAAAGAAATGGAAGCGTGACGGATTCAAGCGTGAAAATGTGTGTATTATGTCTGGGGCCCCAAAGAGTGTGTGTGTGTGTGTGTGTGTGTGTGTGTGTGTGTGTGTGTGTGTG